CATTTTATCAATAAACTTTGAAAATAGATACAGAAAACAAAGAGCAACAATGTCTTACAGGGGGGAAAAAACACATACAGTCAATATATGTGGCTTGCTCAGGGCTACATCCTCTTGAAGCAAAGAATATGTGTCTTCTGAGTTCTTGAACTTGCCTAATACATTAGTAATTTCTTCAGAAATATAGGAAAATGTGGTCAGCAAGTGTTCACATTCTGCTCCTTACATGTTCTATTTTAAAGAGCTCTGCCACAAAGTGGAGGACTGATGTTTCAATTATCCTACATGTCTCTCTCAGATAGAATGTGGTGCTTCTGTCATTTTAGAAAGACAGCATTTTTTCATGAGTTTCTTAATGGTGAGTTTCATCTCCTTATTCCGAAGAGTGAAGATCATGGAATTCAGCATTGGTGTCAAAAGAGTATAGAGAACTGAAGCAATCTTGTCTGCAGGAAACACCTTGAAAGGGCGGTCATAAATGAACATCCCTGGAACAAAATTTAAACTCATAACTATGACCTGGGCAGCACAGGTGGAAAGAGCCTTGTGCTTGCCTTCAGTGATGTGCCTCCGAATCTTTACTAAGATGGTAGTATATGACACCAGCAAAGTAAAGAAGATCAATGTCAGGAGAAGCCCACTATTGCCAACCATCAGAAGTTCGGTTGTGTAAGTATCAGCACATGCCAGCTTGATGAGCTGAGGGACGTCACAGTAGAAATTGTCCAAAATGTTGGATTTGCAGAAGGGGAGCTGAAGGAGAATTCCAATCTGGATAATGGAGTGAGCAAAGCCACCCAGCCATGCTCCTACTACCAATCCTATGCAAATTCCTTTCTTCATAATAATTAAATATTGCAGTGGCTTGTAAATAGCAATATATCTGTCCACGGCCATTGCAACAAGCAAGAAGACCACTGTGCCCCCTGTTAAATGAAAGAAGAAAATCTGTGTAATGCACCAGTTGTAGGAGATGGTTTGAGTGTGGGAGAAGAGGTTCCACAACATTTTGAGTGATGTGACAGATGATTCACTGATATCTACGACAGCCAAGTTAGCAAGCAGGAAGTACATGGGGGTATGTAGAACAGGTGTGAGGAACACTGTGATTATGATGGTGAGATTTCCAAGCCAAGTTGTGCTATAGATGGCAAAGAAAAGGAGGAAAAGAAGGGACTGAACTCTAGGATCCTGAGAGAAGCCGAGGAGAATAAACTCTACTACTGCTGTCTTATTGTTCTCCATTTAAAATCCTGTTAATGGGTTTAGGTAGATATATTCCCCCTGTCATAACTGAGAAACATGTAAGTTATGTCACTAAATGGTTCCCAAAACAATTCACCACTAATGTCTACTACAATACATATTACACGTAATTTTTTTCCCCTGAAATCAAGTCAAATGCTATCAAATTTCTTTACTTTGCACTTTTCAAGTTATAGAAATCATACTTCTAAATCATGTACTAATGATTTATATGCAAGAGACCATAGACAACACATATCATTTCAATTTCTAGAAGATAATCATCTGCCTTTAATGTAATTACATGTATTTATGTATTTTTTTAAATTTTGAAAATCTATTTATTTACAGGACTTTCAGGCCACTTTAATCTAAATGTCTACAGAAAGTATACGGTACTACTTCCCAAATCTGTAAGTTGAGTGAAAAACAGACGAGAAATAGACAGGTTACATATCTTATATTCTATTAAATAATACAATAAAAATAAAAAATAAAAACCATAAATCAGATATACCTTATACTACGTGGTCTGAATTCATCTTGACCTTATTAAAATCCTTAAAGGAAATGTTCAGTAGAAGCCCTTTCATACCTATAGGAGAATGATTGAAGCAGCTATAATTTCACCATGTTATCCATTCCACATATTTATTTTATTTAAAATAAATATTTTAAAATATTTATATTTTACATCTAGAAAATATTCTATTCACCTAAAAGGAGCAGATAGCACACAACTGTTGATATGAATAATGAAGCACAATGTCAGCCATCCCAAAACCTTTGCCCAAAATTTCATTGAGCATCTCTTACTTTCACAAACAGGTAGAAATGAATATTGAAAATTAGTAAGAGAAAAGAAAAATCAGTTGTCCTTGTTCCAACTTTAATAAGCAGATCTATTGTTAAAGTTAAGAATATACT